TATATTTAGGTAAAACAATAAGAACAACTTGTGTCTTTGTGACAGGGTGCAGGTAACAAATGTGGCTCTATGCTAAGATACTAATATTTAAGCAGTCTTGATTCAAAGGTCATAAGTCAAACAAACAAACAAAGGAACATTCCCATGAGTGCAGTTATGAACAGAAAATGAAGCTACAGTCTTAAGAAAACCTCTTCAGAATTTTCATTAAAAAAAATGACAAAAAAGTCTGCCTGCTTGAGAGCAGAGTGTAACTAACTGAGAGGTTTTTTATTTAAAAAAAGTTCCAAGTCATTACAGCTGATGCAGCTTTAAACCCATGTTACTTTGAGCACAGCATGTCTTTGTAGTGTTCACTCTATTAGCTCTCGTTATTCCCATCGTTTAAAATGAATTATCCAATCTTTGCTCCGTGTGTTGTCCTCCCTGTTGTGTCGTCTCTCAGGTAATGTGTGCCACAGCCCTGCACCACCTCTGGCTCGTCCCATGCTGGGCAGGACCCAGGCCTTCCTCGACCCCAAAGCCCTCCTCCCCTTCCATCTGCTTCCTGGCTTCACCGATGTGAGTACCGTCACATCCGTCATCACGGCTGCCATGGCAACCTCGTTTATCAAAACTCAAATTGTTCACTTTATCACAGCGGGGTGTTATTTATTTATTTTTTTGGCTGCAGCCAGAGGAGTAAAGATTCGTAAAATACATTTGCCTGCGCTGAACGTTCAACATCGAGCTGTTTGTATGAGCGCTCTGCCTACATCTTTCCAAATATATCACCTGTGATGCAGAGAGCGGTGACATTTCCACACAACTTGGGGGGTGGAGAGAGGGGGTGGGCGGGGAGGTAGAGCTGATTCCTTGGTATTCCTCACGCAGAGCCGTTCTCAGAGCTGTCTGACTCAATGATTGTGATGGGTGAAGGTGGAGGGAGCTAATGTTGGCCAAGTCCAGGCCCAAAGGAGGGCTGAGCATTTAGGGGCCTTACATCTCCTCAAATAGTCTGGCATGTTCTAAAGGTAAAACTAGGAAATTCCTCATAAAATTTTAAAGGGTGCCAGTGCAGCTACATTCTAAATTTTTTAAAGCAACTTTCTCTCTAAGCTTTGAAAAACGCCTTCTTTATGATAAATAAGCTGTATTAAAAGTGTAACTAGAACCAAGATAGAAAGAAATGTTGAAGCTGCCACAAGCAGCTTCTTGTTACCATGGTAACCACACACCTGTGGCTCTCATTCACCTGAAAGCATGCTCAAGACAGGCAGATAGGATCTCAAAAGAAAGCCTCAAACAGTTTTTTGTTGCTACCATTTTATTTATTTATTTATTTTACGTATATGAGATGTGACAAGTTAAAAAAAAACAACAACAAGTTTTAGTTTTGAGGGGAAATATTTGTGCTGTAAAACAGTCAAGTTTAAAAAAGCTCAGGTGTGCACTCTGAGAAAATCTGAGAGAAAACTATAATTTCTAGAGATGATGTGAAAGATGAACAAAATGTCTACATTTTGAAGTACAATTTGTTTATTATGTTAAATAACTTGCAAGTAGAGTTTGTTAGTGAGCCAGCTGTCGGTTGTACATCCTGTGGAAAGAAATGTTAAAATTGTAAAACTTTTACTGCGATTGTGTAAAAACAGTAAAACAGAACAAAATGTCAGTTGAGTCATAAAGTTCAACTTTTTGGGGCCCTTTTTCAAACTTTGAATGATGTGAAATAATTTATATCAAGTTATAGAGCTCTGAAGAGCCTGGATTTACTCAACGGTTGTGCCAAAAGCTCATTGTCTGTCAGGAAATTTCATGCATCCTTTCACGAATTTTATCGAAGTCGGATGACACACCACTACTAAAGTCACATAGCACGTTATTCTCCACCGAGCTGCATGTTTTAAAGTTTACATGTTTGTATTTTTCCTGAAATGTGGAGCAACAAAATGGATGGTGGTGGACATAGAACAGAATAGTAAGAATTGATGAACCCTATTTATTTTTTTACCATACCATACCACTTTACCATACCACTTTATTTATAAAGCACTTAAAACAGTGACAAGGCCAACCAAAGTGCTGTACAGACAGAACAACAGGTAACACACAAAACAAAATACAAAATGAGGTAAATCAGAATATAGACATAAAAACGATGCAGATAATGACGACAAACCAGTGTGGAGAATACAGGTTCAAAACACAGATCATCTTGTGTTGAAAGCCACCGAATAGTAGTGGGTTTTTAAACGGGACTTGAAAACCGAGAGGCAGGGGGCCTGTCTGACAAGCAGAGGTAACTCGTTCCAAAGTCTAGGTCCTGCTACAGAGAAGGCCCTGTCACCTCTGCGCTTAAGACGAGTTCCTGGAACTATGAGGAGCAACTGGTCCGCTGACCTCAGGGAACGTGGTGGGACATACGGTTGTAGCAGATCAGAGAGATGGGGGGGGGGGGGGGAGACACTGTTCAGTGATTTGTAGACATACAGTAGTATTTTGAACTGGATTCGAAAGTGAACCGGTAACCAGTGCAGTGAGGCCAAAACTGGTGTAATGTGCTCTCTTTTGCCTGTACTGGTTAAAAATTGGGCTGCTGCATTCTGAACCAGTTGTAGTTGTGCTATGGAGGTCTGACTGATACCAAACAGGAACGAATTGCATTACATCCTAGATATAATGAATGCATGTATTACTGTCTCCATGTTATTTTTGGAAAATATGGGCTTCAGTTTAGACAGCCGCCTCAGTTGGAAGAAACATGATTTAACAATCATGTTTACGTGATTGTTAAGTTTCAGGGAAGGGTCCATTATCACGCCCAGATTAGTGACTTTTTGTTTTTCTGACAGGGATAGAGTGGAAAGGTCGATGCAGTGGTTCGTGATCGTGTCGTTGGGAGGGAACAACATGACTTCAGACTTCTTTTCATTGAAACTTGAGAAGTTTAAAGCCATCCAGTCCCTGATGTCAACCAGGCAGTTGAGCAGCAATTGAATAGAGCATGCACCATTGTGTCTTAGGGGGAAGTAAACTTGACAGTCATCGGCATAGAAGTGGAAGGGCATGTTGTGTTTCCGGAAAATAGCACCAAGCGGCAGCAGGTATAAAGAGAATAGGAGGGGACCCAGGATGGACCCCTGCGGAACCCCACCATTTAAGCTCTGCCTCTGCGGAACTAAAATCCTTGATGGAGACACAAAAGGATCTGTCAGCGAGGTAAGATCTGAACCAATTGAGGGCTGATCCTGTGATGCCCACCCACTGCTCCAACCTAGCAATGAGGATCTCATGGTCGATGGTGTCAAAGGCGGCTGTGAGGTCCAACAGGACAAGCAGCACAGAATCACCGGTAACCAGTGTGATCAGTGGTTAAGAAAATGTCATTAAAGATCTTCAGCAGGACAGTTTTAGTGCTGTGGAGAGGTTTAAAGCCAGATTGGAATAGCTCTAAGATGGTGTGACCTTCTAGGAAGCACTTCAACTGGGACTCGACTATTTTCTCCAGTAGTTTAGAAACAAATGGGAGTTTGGAGACAAGCCGGTAGTTGGAAACGAGTGAGGGGTCAAGGTTTGCTTTTTTCAGGAGAGGCTGGACAGCAGCATGTTTAAAGGATTTTGGCACCATGCCAGTGGATAAACCACTGTTTACTATATCAAGAATGGACAGACCTAGAGTTGGAAAAACCTCCTTTAGTAGTCGAGGGGGGACCACATCAAAGGGGGAGCCAGAAGGTTTCAAGCTGCACATGACCTGCTCTAGAGAAGATAGAGTGATGGGTTCAAAATGGTCAAATAGAGCTACAGCTTGAGGTGGGATGGATGGATCATGAGTTGGAGGGGAAATGAGAGCCCTGGTGGTCGCAATTTTTTCCAAAAAGAAATGTAAGAAGTTGTCGCACAGCTCAATTGAGGCTTCCAGAGGAGATGGTTCAGTGAGGTGGAGAACAGAGTTTAGGGTGGAGAAGAGGACACGTGGGTTGTGAGAGTTTGAGGTAATTATATCAGAGAAGTATTTGGATTTAGCAGCTTTCACTGCTTTCTGATAACGGCGCCAACTCTCTTTAAAGTATTTGGAAAGAGACCTGCAGCCTGTCTTTCCTCCACTTGTGCTCCGCCCTCCTACATTGCTGCCTAGCGGCCTTGGTGACGTCACTCAGCCAAGGTTCTGCTCTTAAGTTTTGATTTTTTGGTTTTAACAGGTGCAACATGATCCATAGTCTTTAAGCAGACAGAGTTGAACTGGGATGTCAGTTCCTCAGTGGTGCTGAGAAACACCGGGGGCTGACTTATCATTTAAACATCTGTGAAACGTGCGGCAGTGAAGTGGTCTTAATTAGTGCAGTAGATGTTGTATGTGCATCTGGTTAATTCAACAAATTTGGATGTCCTTATTTTATTTTTATTTTCATTTTAGAGACTAAAGCTCAAATTTTTTTTGCTTGGTTTGACCAAATGCAGCTTTTTTGCTCCTCTTTGCTCTTTATCCTCACCTTAGCCTGATTTGTTCAGACCAGTGAAATCAGGTCTCCTTTGTAAATGAGTCCCAGAGGCTCAATGGGATTAACCTGTATAAATAGAGGTTGAATGAATGAATGAAAGAATGAAAGGTTTAATACAGCGGTGGACAACATTTTGTTTCCAGAGGGCCAAACTGAGTTATTTAAAGCAATCAAAGGGCCGCACAGTGAACTGGAAAATAATTTTCTTTAGGACAGATAATCTTGAAGACATTTCTAGGCTTTTTTATGGTTGTAGCGTAGTTAGCATGCTTGGTTAAAAAAAAAGAAGAGTTTCAAGTTCAAGTATCTTTATTTTCATTTGCATCACATGTGGTACATGAGGTGGAACAAAATTGTGCAGGGTCCCAGTTACGTGTAGCAATATCAAAAATATAAAGTATAAAAAGAAAAAGTGTATAAGGATCTAAGATATACACTAAGTCTAAGATAGATACTATACGAACGCTAAACAATATGCTATCAGATCTAAGATGTTTGCTAAAAACTAATAATGTCAAATAATACAATATATTAAACAGCAGCCCGAACTTGAGTCTGTAGTGAGCAGATGGGTGTGAATGAATACAGCAGCACTTGAGTCACATATCACCAATTAAAGTGGCATTACAGTGATTTTCTTTTTTTTTTTTTTACAGTGAAGTTTAGATTCACATAAATTTCATTCATAAAATGCAGGTTCATCAACTTATTTTAAAGTTTATTTCTTTTAAATTAAGGATATTGGGGGCCAGGTGGAGATTGTTAAAGGGACACTTTGGCACTCGGACCATATGTTGCCCATATGTTGCCCATCTGTTGCATGTATGTTCATATGTTGGGAGCTGTATGCCTGTTGGTCAATATATTGACTGTATTTTACACAGGTGGATGCTGTATTCACATCAACTACTTTCTCTAAAGCACGCCTGCCTTGACCTAACACACCCATCCCTCTATTTCACTTCACTTTCCTTTAATGTCCAGCCTGCCCCTTTCCACTTTAGAAGTTGCACTTGCTCTTTGGCCTTACCAATTTTCCACTTTGTCTCCTCCTGTCATCCGTCTCATTCCACATCT